TCAGTGCACCTTAGAAACTAATGCATTACAGGACTTTAATCAAGCATTGCTCCATAATTAGACACACTTTTCCCTGCACAAAAGTTTTTTTTAAAGCCAAGTATCTGATGCCTTGAACCTCTGTTATAGTTAAGAAAATAAACTTTAAAAGACATTCATTATTCTTGAACTAAGCATTTCCTTACTAAGTCCCATCCTAGAACAACTTTTAACTGCTAATTTATCATCCTCCCTCCCAGTGACAGGGAAGATTAATAGTGGAAAAGGCTTATTTAACACTACTCTGATGCCAAAAACACATGGTGTTACACTTTTGGTGATATTGGTCAAGAAGCAATAACCAAGGAAAACAAACTACTAAGAAATAACACCCCCAAGAAACCCATTCCCTCAATTGTAAGCCTTGGCATGGTTCTACTGGAATAAACTGCAGTGGAATCCCAACCTGAAAGTTGTTTATAAAAGACCAAATGTCTGATTTCATCTTCTTGCAGCCACCTGCCTATCCCTTATCTCCACTGCTGTGCTTATCAGCACTCTGATCTGCCAGGAGCACATTCCAGAGCCCCAGTGCCCTTGGGAGAACTGCCCATGCCAAAGGTGCAGCCCTGGGAGATTTCTAACATGGGCTCAAGCAAAGGATGAGGGAGGAGAAATGCTACCTGCATGTGCTGCCAAAATCCAGACCCAATCTGATGGCAGGGTCAAGGTCACAGTAAGAAAAGAGATGGGAGGCCAGCACAGGGATTTTCACATCCACCTCAGATGAGATTTAAATGAATGAAGTGAGGAAGAGGAGAAGAATGAACAGCCAAACCTCCAAAGCACAGGATTTCATAGCAAGAAGAACCTTCACTGTAACCATCTGTCAAAACAAGAAAGAAAAAGCAGGACATCTGTTGCCCAACAAGTTCTCAGATATTCTGAGGTGCTTTTTTATATAAGAGGTGGGGGAAATAAACCATGATAAGAAGAATGGCTCTTCTAATTTCATTCTAATCAGAGGGCAAGAACCACCTAAGAACATGAAAGTGGAAACAACCTGGCTGACAGAAGGCATAAAAAGACAACTCTCACAGTTCTTCAGAAGGGAAAACAGTCACAAAATGAATAAAATGAACACCTGATAAAACCACAAGCTTTCTGAAACCCAGATGAAACAAAGATCTGAAGCTTGCTGACAAATCATCTCAGCCAAGTAAAGGCTCTTCAATATTTTAAAATTCAAGGAATTTTGCACAAGTGCAAATCACATCACTGGAGGTCACTTCATTAAGTTAACAGCACAGTTGACAGAATAGGAAAGGTCAGGGCTTTAGGAAAGAAACTACCAGGAGGCAGCACTGAAGGTAAAATGAAAATATTCCTTCAGAATGCCTGCAATGCAAGAAAGCACAGCTGAAGCAGGAGCGCATTAACCCGCAATTCAATGAGAGGGAAAATCTCTACCAGATGATGCCAAAGCACTCGGGGCATTTTCTGCATCAATCTCCACTCAGTAAGATGGATTAGCTGGCTAATGTAACTCATAGCACAGCAGAAGGAGCAGGAGCCCAGGCTAGAACTGGGAAATGCATTACAGCAACTGCTCCAAAGCTCCCGAGCCAGCAAAGCCACGGCTCTGAATTTTCCATGCAGATTTCTCGGCACACTTCAAACAAAAAGCACCACAAAGGCAAGGCAATGTGCTTCTGCAGACAGCTTAATGAGCCTCCATAAACCCATGGACCTGTAGTCCATAAACCTGGGCACTATATCCAGGGGCTACAGCATTAGGAGTGCTTCAAGGTTTCAGATCCGGTAGATGTAATATTTACCTTTCGAAAACTGACAAAAGAAGTTTTGGAGCATCTCTGCTCTCTGCATTAAGCTCCAACAACCTAAAGAAGGACTACAGCACCTGCCTCTAAAGAGCAGGAAACAAGTACACAGGAAAACACAGACCAGAGTCAAGCTTACCATCAGATCCTGGGAAGATGCCAAAATAATCTGAGAAAAAAAAAACCTATCTCCTGCATATGTCAGATAACAGAACAGACGAGATTCAACACACAGCTCCTTAGGAACAAATCATATCAAAGGAATATAATTCCCTCCAATGACACAGTAACAATATAGGTAGTGAAACAGCAACTACAGGCAATATAGTTTTGGTTTAACTGGACTTTTGACACTATTAAACTGACAGCCATACAATCTAAACAAAAGCAGAACATACTGAAATACTCAGAGGTGATTAGAAACCCACACCCAGAGATAAGCTATCATTATTTCAGTCTGAGAGAAAATTGGTAGCAAGCCCATTCACATGGCTTTAATCTTTTCACATTCTCCACTGTTACAGAAAGTAACCAGGGGAAGAGGGTTTTTAGCAATGAATTTACTGCAGGCAACTTCATATTTTGCTCTGCCTCACTTGCATTTCTTATGGTGACAAGCAACAATTTCCAGTATCTCCCAGACATTCTACACATCAGAAAACATCAGGATGTTAACAGAGAATAATCTCAGGCAGTTTTCAAAAACTTGGATGGAGAGTCTCAGAATCCCCAGTCACTTGAAGCAAATAAAAGTCACCTGAAGTAACAAATTGTTTAACAGAGCAAAAAGGTAATAATAATCACCTGTACAACATAACAAGGAAAGCAAGCTTGAATTCTGTTCTGCCCACAATGTGCTGAGTGGTAAAGTGCTAAAGAATCTGGGGCTTATGTTCAACATAAATCAAACATATCACTGCAAAAAAACTAAATACATCAAGAGTCATCATCCTGCCTGGATGAAACGCAGGCAGGAAAAGAATGAAAAAGAACACAAAATGATTTTGACTCTGGCTGTTATATTAATGACTCAGATGGAACACCATGTCCAGCTTCAATAAAATGCAAACCAAGTGGAAAAGGCCTAAAGAAACCCCAGTGAGAATAACCCCCAAGTGTAACCAAAAAGAAAACAAAAAAGACATTAAAAATCACTGAAGAGAGGAGACTGAAGCGATGGGATTTCTTCAGAGTGAAAAACACCAAAGAGAAAGCCCTCAAAGTATTGCAGACACTCCTACAAAAGAGAAGTAATAAAGAGTTCACAAGTGTATAAAATTCATGGTAGAGTTCTTAAATGCTTCAATTACAGCAAACAAATTTAGATTGGAAATTAGGAGTAGCATTTTCAATGTTAACAACTGCAAAATATCAAAATAGACTGACTAAGGATAAATCTCCATCAGAAACTTATGTTAGCTCATTAAACACTCCTTCCTTGTGACTGAAATGTGGTGAATTTATGAGAACAAGTCAGTTACCTCCTTTCATTCACATCTGAGTTTCCAGCTTCTGGATGAGTTACTATGGAAATTCATTAACCATTACTAAGAAACAACCTCCAGCATGAAGGCTTTGTAACACTGTGTGGAAACAATAACAGATACACAGCCCTGAGGGAGCTCTTGGAAGGAAAACACAGAGGAAAAGTGGCACACTTGAACCACATTGAGATGGAGAGTCCTTAATTACAACAATAACAAACCCAGAGCTCCTACTCTGCCACAGAGATGCAAACAACAAGAGCTGGGCTGCAGAAAGAAGCAGCAATACAAGAACATCAACCCCAAACACGGTGTCAGCAACTGCACCCAGTAAAGCAGAAAGCACCATTAATTGTCTCAAGCAAAACTCAGCTCCAAAAAAAGCCCAAAACAAGAGAAGCAAAGCAGGAGAGCAAACTGAGACATGCTGTCCTCTGCTGGAAGTGGCTCTGGAGGAGCCTGGAAGCACATCGGGACCACTCTGATCATTCCTCTGATCTTCGGTCAATGCAAGATCGAGGCGTCGCTTTAAACCCGCACGGCTTTGCCTGAACGGCGCTGCTGCCTCTTGAACTCCAGCACTGCTGCCACCAAAGGGACACTCCCGAGGCCACCTCTCCCACACCACCACACCTCCATGGCAGGAGGAGAGAACAGGAGCAGGGAACAGAATGAAAAGTAACACTTTTTTCCTAAGACAACAAGATAAATCGCTTTTTGTAATTGACTTCCTTCATTCTGTTCACTTACTGCAATGTACCAAGGCAAGCAAAAGCTCTCAGGCTGCATCTCTTCAATGTAATTCACACGTGGTTTAAAAACATACACATCACAGGAAAGATGACAAGCCAAAAATAAAAAATATAGAAAGGGCTGCTACTGCAGTACTGGCCTTGTATGGTGTACATCCAGAAAGAATTTTGAGTACAGACTTTCAAACTCCCACACTAACTAAGGATGGTCTCCAGATCCAAAAGTGAATGAGTTCAACCTATTTGTGACTTAAATCATCAAGAGCATCTGTGACTAAAATCAGCAACAGCCAGTGATGGGTACTATCTAAGGGCTGAGTTTTAGGAGAAAAGGGAAAAAAGTAATGACTGGTCTTGGGGGGAAAAAAAAAGAAAAAGAAAAAAACACGAATGAGTTAAGACTACCATCAGCACAGATTCGCAAGAGGATTTTCCAACATTTAAACCAGCACCAAAGCTTCAGCAAAGCACTCTTCATTCAGCAGAATTAACACATCAAAATAATACAACAAAAAAGCTTTTCCTTTACTACTCGAGCACAGTTTTAAACAAGAAATGTTTAACTCTGTGGGAAATGTATTTTCCCCTGAGTTCCCCGCTTCTCACGCCGAAGCCTGGCAGCGCTGCGGGACAGGAGGTGTCCCGAGCTCACGCCGCGTCCCGCGGGTTCCTCCCGGGAATTTCACCGCACAGAAGGCACCGAGGGCAGTCAGACCCACACCGGAGCCAGCCCGGGCTGACACGGACCCTTCGCGGGAGGAAAGGCAGCCTGACCGGCCCGGAGCTGCCTCGCAAGCGCCGCTCGGGTCTGGCGGAGCCGATGCCGCCCCCACCCCCGGGCCAGCCGGGGGAGCGACCCCTTCCTTCCCCCAGGCCCCGCCGCCCCGCAGAGCGGTCGGGGCTCCGCACCGCGCCCGCTCCCCCCGGGGCCCGGCGCCACTCACAGCGTGTGCCCGCAGACGTTCACCATCAGCTTCAGGGAGGGGTTGCGGTATTTGGTGGTCTTGCACCGCGGGCAGCCCAAGTCGTCCATGGCCTCCTCCTCCCGCTCCCCTCCCTCCTCCCGCCGCGCCTTCCGCCTTCCGGTGCCGCCGCCAAACGGCCCCGCCGCCGCCCAGCGCCGCCCCGCGCGTTCCGTGCGCGCCCCGGCCCCGGCCCCGACACCGCCCGCCCGAGCGGGAAGGAGCCCGGGCAGCAGCGCCGGGGCTGTCCGGGGGCTGTCCGGGCCCCAGAGCTCTGGGTGTAACAGCGGGAGACGGGGCACACCTGCCCATGACTAACCAAGAGGAACCACAGAATCAATCACTTCGGGAAAGACCAGCGTGTCAACCGGACCATGGCACTAAGTGCCACGTCCAGTCTATCCTTAAATGCCTCCAGGGATGGCAACTCCACCGCCCCCCTGGACAGCCCATTCCATGTTCAATCACTCTTTCTGCGGAGAAATTCCTCCTAGTGTCCAACCGGAACCTCAAGATTCTGTCCTCTCGTCGCTAGCCCAGGAGCAGAGCCCGACCCCCACCTGGCTACTCCTCCTTTCGGGGAGTCGCAGACAGCGATAAAGCCACCCGCGAGCCCCTTTTCTCCAGGCGAAACACCCCCAGCTCCCTCAAGCGCTCCCCATAGCACTAGTGCTCCAGACCCTTCCCAGCTCCGCTACCCTTCTCTGGACTAGCTCCAGCACTTCAATGACTTTCTTGAAGTGAGGGGCCCAGAAGCGGATACAGTAAAACTCCCTCACCCCCAGTAACGACAGCAGACAGCACCGGGAGCGTTTTAACCCTTTCCCTTCCAGGGAAAGCCGCAGGTGACGGAGCCGCCGCTCCCCGGGGGCTCCAGGTGGGGATGGGAAGGGGGGGGGGAGCGGAGAGAGGAGCGCGGCCGCTTGATTGACGGTTGCCATGGAGACGCTGTAACCCCGCCCTCCCGGCGCGGCGCAGCCAATGGACGGGCGCGGCCGGGGCAGAGGTGGGCGGGGCCACATAGTCTTGCGGCGGGTGCGGGAGTCGCGGCGGGGGGAGCGGCGGAGCGCGGCCGGGATACAGCAGCGATCCCGGATGGTCACCGCGGGGCCGGGGGAAACCTGATCGGCTAGAGCAGGAGGAGGAGAGAGATAGGAAGGGGGGAGAGGAGGAGAAGGGAGCGTGGTGGGGGGGGGGAGGGAGGAAGGGGAAAAAAAAAGAGCACACAAGAAAAAAAAAGAAAAGAAAAAAAAAAAAAGGAAAACAAACCGAAACATGTCTTCAGCCTCCCCCGCCACGGACGACATCGTGATCGCGGTAGAGATCAAGGAGGAAAATGTGATGGAAATGCTCTCCGAAGCCCCCGACGGGCCCGCGCCGCCGCCCCCTCCCGCCGCTGCCCAGTTCCCCATGGAGCATGCAGGCTCCGCTGCCGCCGGCGAGGAGGGAGCCGCGGAACAGGTACTGCTCCATACGGAACTCCTGGCCAGGAATCACCACGCTGCCTCCTCTCCCTCCTCTTCATCTTCTTCTTCCTCCTCCTCCTCCTCGCAGACCCCCTTGGCTTTCTCCCCGGACCACGTCGCCTGCGTGTGCGAGGCGCTGCAGCAAGGTGGGAACCTGGACCGCCTGGCCAGGTTCCTGTGGTCTTTGCCCCCGAGCGATCTGCTACGTGGCAACGAGAGCCTGATGAAAGCCCGGGCGCTGGTGGCTTTTCACCAGGGCATCTACGCCGAGCTCTACAGCATCCTGGAGAGCCACAACTTCGACTCCTCCAACCACCCGCTGCTGCAGGAGCTCTGGTACAAAGCTCGCTACACCGAGGCGGAGCGAGCCCGGGGCAGACCCTTGGGGGCGGTGGACAAGTACAGGTTGCGGAGGAAATACCCCCTGCCCAGGACCATCTGGGACGGCGAGGAGACGGTCTACTGCTTCAAGGAGAAGTCCCGCAACGCGCTGAAGGAGCTCTACAAGCAGAACCGATACCCCTCGCCCGCCGAGAAGCGCAACCTGGCCAAGATCACCGGGCTGTCCCTCACCCAGGTCAGCAACTGGTTCAAGAACCGCAGGCAGCGGGACCGCAACCCTTCCGAGACCCAGTCCAAAAGGTGAGGGAAAACTTTTCCTCCCCGCCCCCTCTCCCGCCTGCCTTTCCCTCTCCCTGCTCTTTCTTCCCTTGCAAACATGGCGCTTACCTTCGGTGCGCCTCGTCCTCCCCTCCTTCCTCCTCCCCGCTCCCTCGTTCCCAACACACCCACCCGGCCCGGGCGTGCGAGGCGGCGCGGGGAAACTTCCCGGACCCGCCGCCCCGCGCTCCCGGGGGAGCTCCCGGCACGGGGGAGCCGCTCCCGGCACGGCGGAGCCGCGGAGCGGACTCCCGGGAGGGGACGGGACGGGGGTGTTCGTTCCCCCCGCTCCTTGTTTTTATTCAATTGTCGCGCCTGACAGAGTTAATCATTGACGGCCGCAGGACGCGCGGGGTCCCGGCGCTCCCTCTGTTTTGAAACCTGACTCGGGAGCGGGCCGGGCTCGGGTTTCAGCGGGGGAGCGGGGCCGGTTCCCGGAGCTCCCGGGAGCGGCCCCGGCCCCGCTCCGCCCGCGGCTCGGGCTCGGCTCCCCCCGCCCCGCGGCGGGGGCGCGGGCAGGTGGAGGTGACCTCCCCGCTCCCGCCTTCCTCCGGGAAGGGACGGGAAAGGGGGGAGAAAGCGCAGGGAGGAGGGGGGAGGAAGGGAGCGGGGAGAGAAGGAGGGAAAGCGGCCGGCGGAGGGGGCCCCAAGGCATTTCTCAACCAAGGGCGCGATTGTGCCGCCGCGGCCCCTCTCCGCGGGACACATCAAAGGGCGAGGGGGGAGGGAGGGGAGAGCGACCGAAAAATGCAGCCGAGGGCGGACCAGTCAGCGAAAAAACCCGGCGCAGCCCCGGGCGGAGGCACAAAGGCCGCCCCCCATCTCTCCGTCCCTCCCCCCGGCACGGCCGGAGGTGCCTCCGCCGGCACCGGGGCAGCGCGGGCCGGGGTCTCCCCCTTCCCCCGGGCCCGGGGCGCCAGGCTGAGCCCGGAGGGTCCGGCGGCGCTCCCCGGCCCTGCCTCACCTCCCAGCGCTTTGCCAAATGGCCGCGGCCGGTCTTACACGTGTGGGCACCCCGGCCCAGGCAGCCCCCTTCGGTCGCCGGGGTGGAGGAATTTATTTACAACTCCATAACCCAGTCTGTAAAGTTGCTCCTTTGACGAGTGTTTGGTTTGATGTGTTCTATTCTAAGAAACCTCCTTCCCTTGGCTTAAATATTCGTTTAAAGTGCTTCGTAAAGACAAAACACAGAAAAAAATTTGTTCGTGGAAACTCTCACATACTTGTATTAAAGCAAGAAGTCCCCCCTGGTGCAGAGATCCTGCTATGCCGTGGTAATGCAATGTCATCTCTCTATCTTTTCCCGTAGCGAGTCAGATGGCAACCCTAGCACAGAAGATGAATCCAGTAAGGGGCGGGAGGATTTATCTCCCCATCCACTCTCCAGCTCATCCGACGGCGTTACCAGCCTCAGCCTTCCCGGCCACATGGAGCCTGTCTACATGCAGCAGCTTGGAAACACTAAAATAGCCTTGAGCTCGTCCGGTGTCTTGTTGAATGGGAACCTCATGCCTGCCAGTACCTCTCCTGTCTTCCTCAATGGTAGCTCGTTTCTTCAGGGACCCAACAGTGTCATACTCAATGGACTCAGCGTGGGCACTTCGCAGACTGTTACCTTAAATTCACCCAAAACTGCGGCAAGTGTCGTGAGCAACGGGGTGTCCATCACTGACATACTGTCCTCATCGTCCTCAGAAGATGTTAAAGACTTCAAACTCCTTCAGGCCTCGGTCCCCAATGCCACAGCAGCCTTCAGCCCTAGCAACATCCCAGTCACTTTCCCAGGATTGATACCGAGCTCAGAGGTGAAAAGGGAAGGCGTAGAAACTGCTGCTTCCCAGGATGGAGGCTCCGTAGTTACTTTTACTGCTCCTGTCCAAATAAACCAGTATGGCATTGTCCAGATCCCCAATTCAGGAACAAATGGCCAGCTGCTGAACGGAAGCATTGGTTTTTCTTCTCTGCAGCTGCCTCCAGTTTCTGTGGCAGCTTCACAAGGTAAAAGCTTTGCCTCTTGCAGTAAGAGGTACGAGAAAAAGTTGGAATCAGGCACATTTAGCATTTTAGAAGCTGTGGTCCTTTTCTTCCAAGGTATCAACATAGTATTTCAGCCATGACCACGCACAGAGCATCAAATAATACTGTTTGCCTTCCTTTATAGTGGGTTATGCTCCTGGGCAGACTCTTAGATGAAGCTGAGCTCCTCTGTTAAGAGCATGGAAGGAGGTCTGGTAATTTACACCCCTTTCATCTCGTGCTGTTCACAGAAGTCTGTGATAGGAGTCTTCACAAATATCTGTAAATTTTACATGTTTCAGTAATTCAAAATATTACCCGTTTGCCACTGAATTCTTTTAATGAGAAGGTTCATAAAAATGAAAATTATGGCAGCTGGAAATTGTTACCCTTGTTGTTCTTGTGGTGGTTGTTTTGATTTTTTGTTTTCTTAACAAAAGCATTTCACAAAAATACATTTTGAATTATTGTAGACACAACAAGACCGAGCAGTTGCTTGTACATTTTCTGTTCCATAATTAAGAAAGATTAAACTTGAGGGAAACAATAGAAGTAAGCACTAGCTTGTAGATATAAAATGTGAGGCTCTTTGGATAAAACTGCCCTCAGTCCAAGGGAAATATGTCATCACAGGTTCATGTGCCAAGTGTGCAGGCTCCTCCCCAAGTTTGCTTTAGAGTTGGTCTTAGCATACCATAGTCTGAATCTTGCAGCTGGCCAGGAAGAATCCCAGGGAGCACAAACCTTGTCTTGGATCCCTTTTTTGAAGCAGATCAGTTAAAAAGCACTGTTGAACGTCTTTGGTACTCATTGGCCACTTTATTTATTTGATTATGAAAATCATTAAACTGGAATGATTCTGGTTTCAGGAGCTGTGAATACTATAATGAAAGTCAAATTGTGCTCATGTGCTTCTTTGAATTTAATGTGTATAGGGAGTGAACTGTTCTTGCTGAAACACAGGGAGAAACACTGAAGCTGTGCAACCACATTTCAAATGGGTGCACAATTATCACAATTATAAGGCCCTAAAATGTGGCACTCAGAGGCACTGGAAGTTATTGGCACATAGTTTAAGCAAGATTAAAGAGAGAAGACATTTAGTTTGAATGCCACCTTTAATTACTAAAGCCACTTAATCCACATGCTCCAAGGCATAAACTAACAGCCTGCAAAGGTGAGAAAGAAAGTTCTGTCCTTTTAAGTATTGTAGAACTATTGTATTTGAACGTCCTAAGATTCATAATGAGCTCTTCTCTGACCATTTTTCCCCTGGCTAAAAGTACTGATTGCCCACTGGAGAGTGATCCACCATATCTTTGGTGCAGAGAAAAGTTCTGGTTGTCTTGGATGGATAGCTGGCTGCCCAGTCCAAGTGAAGCATGCTGCAGGCTATTTCAAGTAAGCCAGTAAATAATACTGACAGGTAACTTCAAGTTACCTGGCTTTGTTATTCTAGTTTACCCATATGCATAACATCTTCCAAAAAAATCATAAAATCATAATTGATTAACTGAAATTAATAGGGAACTAAAATATTCCCCATGTGAGAAATTCATCTTCAGTGCTGTTCTAAAATATTCAGCTGTGTCCAACTGTAATCTCTTATAATTAAACTGCTTTTGAGAAAGAGAGGTGTTCCAAGTGCGACTCAGTCCCAAGAGCCAGTATTTCTTATTTTAGGAATTACCATAATGACAAGTGACATGGCAAGTCCAGTGAAAACAACTTCAGGTCATCTCTGGCCACCTCTCCTTGCTTTGGCTCACTGCAACATCACACGAGCAGTGCCATGGCTCTCAGCAAGGGCAGGCAGTGCTGGGTGACTTTTCACAGCATGGTGGATGTGGTAGGATTAGGATTTTAGAAAAACACAAAAAAGCAAGGTGAAAGGGACTAGAGCTGAGTGCTTGAGGATTATTACCTAGTTAGACCAATAGAAATTACCGGTTTTTCGTGTTTTCTGTGAGGGTTGGCTCGGGCAGGTTCTCCCCAGCAGCAGTGGATTTCATGTGACGTGTCTCCAGTTCCCACACACAAGCTGTAGTCTGTCACTGAACTATCTTTAATGGCTTTTCATGCTTCTATTCTTAGATGGAAATTGAGTGGTGGCAACTAGTGAAGGCCAAAGCACATTCATTTTAGTCACATGGCTGGGGACTGTTTGCTCCTTAATGAGAGTCTGAAAGATACCTAATCGAATATAGCAGAAATTTCTTTTTTTTTTTTTTTAACTTTCTAGAAGCAACTTCTATTAACAGCATTGATTTCTTTACACCAAGTTTTCTCTCACCTGCTACAAAAATTGCTTTGCAGTGTTACATGAAATATTAGTGTATGTGTATATTGCAAAGGTAAAAAAGACCAGGACTGCATAACCCTCTGCCAGCTGTAATTTCTGTGTTCTTTTCTTCTGCTTCTTTTTCCCTAGGTAATGTTTCAGCAAACCCCAGCACATCTGATGGAGGAACTTTTACGACTGAATCTTCAACAGTGCAGCAAGGAAAGGTTTTCTTCAGCCCCCTCACTCCGAGTGCAGTGGTTTATACAGTTCCCAACTCGGGCCAGGCTGTAGGATCTGTCAAGCAAGAAGGACTGGAAAGAAGCCTGGTGTTTTCTCAGTTGATGCCAGTCAGTCAGAACACACAACTGAACGTCAACATGTCTTCTGAAAATATATCCAGTGCAGGGCTCCAGTCCCTGGCCTCCTCCTTAGTGAATGTAACGCCCTCACACAATTTTTCCCTCACTCCACCAACTCTTTTAAATGCTGCAGAACTGAGCTCTGGTATCTCGGAGAGCCAGGCCATGTCTTCACCCGTGACCAGTACCTCTACAGTGATATCTATCAGCAACACTAACTATGCAACCCTCCAGAACTGTCCCCTCATCACCAGTCAGGATCTGTTGTCCATTTCCACAGCACAGCCCGTGCTTGGAGAAATAGTTTCAACCAGTGGAGACCGTGTCAGCCACCCCCCTGCACAAGTGCACCAGGATTTTGGCAGAGAGCACAGGTTGGTTCTGCAAGCTGTACCTGATGTCAAAGAGAATTTCTTGCCTAATTCTGAGAGTAAGTCAACTGGCAATTTAATGATGCTGGATTCCAAATCTAAGTATGTTATGAGCAACATGGTTGACACGGTATGTGAAGAACTGGAAACGGACAAAAAGGAACTTGCCAAACTGCAGACAGTTCAGATGGATGAAGTTATGCAAGACTTGTAGCTTCTTTCTTTTCTTGCTTTCTGTTTTAATAGATAAGTCTCCTGTTGAGGCCCTAACAAACACCTGGTGGGGTGTTTGTGGGTTTTTTTTTTGTTTGATGGGTTTTTTTTTCATTTTAAGAAACCAGAAGAACATTTAAGTGGTCTGAATCAATGTACAGAGGAATCTCCAGCAATGGAATTAGGTTGCCACACTTGGTTTGCATGCAGTATTCTCTTTTAAACAGGTTAAAGGAGAAAGGAAATGGCCAGGGCAAGTACTGAGGAATGGGTACAGGTTTGGCTACCAGATACTACCTTGAAAATTTAACTAGACTCTCCATAGTACAACATACTCTTAACAGTAAGTATACACTCCTAGCTTCAGATGGAAAAAAAAAAATCTCACTCCAAAATGGTAGAAACAATGCAGACTTTTTATTTTCTGTTTACTTCCAGTCCATGGGCATTGAGAGATTTCTTAGGAACTCTAGACGATACCTCTCTGGCTACTTTTATGTTGTTTGAGGTTAAGAAACAAAACAAAATCATAATATTGTTACTGGTATGTTTGCTTATTTTCCAGCAGACTTGCATTTAAACCAAAAGTCTCACATCAATCATGTACAGGTTTCTAAATGCTACAGCTAGCATTTTGTCAGTGCACCAGAAAAGGCATCATTTGAAACTCTAATTATGCAATTCAGAAGCTTTCTATCCAGTATGAATGTAAATATTGTTTCAGTTCTTATAAAGGAGACTTTTTTTTAATTAGTACAATGGATTTTATTTATGGTTTATGTTCCCTTTCACTTTAGACACAATGCATTGAAAAGGAAAACATTTTCTGGCTGTTTAATTTATTTTATTGTTTGAGCAGGAAGTAAGCGTAGTTATTTCTGACAAGGTTTTACTTTTTTGTAGGTTTTTTCAAGCAATAGACTGTAAAAGTAAAATGTTAATCACACTGAAACTAGAAAATTAATTCCCAGTCTCACAAACCCAGGAGGTCACTGTTTCTACCCCCTCTGTCTTTGTGTTCAGGGCTTTTTTTTTTTGTTTGTTTGTTTTGTTAGTAATTTGCGATTTAGTTGAACCCTTTTGTGTATTTTTTACAGAATTCCACGTGCCTTTCTTCCTAGTGGCCTTATCTTTGTTACTAAAGCACAGTGGCAGGAGGAATAAAAACACTGATTTGCAAATATCCGTCCTCAGGGCCAAATCCTGATGCCTTACTTCTGCAAGTGGACCCCTCTGACTTGGGTGCCCCTGCTTGCACGAGTAAGAAGAGGTTTGAGAGTCTTCTGGACATGGTGGGTGACATTTCCTGGCAGTGCAGAGAGCCAAGGATGGGTCCTTCTGCCCCACATCAGCAGGACAGGAGGGGTCCACGGAGGGTGCCAAGGGGAAGCTCTTGGTTCTGTGAGATGAGCAGGAAAGGTTGGATGGGCAGGCCAAGGAAGGGAGCCCTGTGTTCATAAATTGGCCAAACTGCCCATGTGGGACAGCTTCAGCTGCTGGTGGAGCAAGGTCCCCATGCAGGAGTGCAGTTGAGTGTGTATTTATGAATATCCTCCAGGAGAAGCAGCCTGGGGGCTGTGGTGGGAACTGCACCTGCCTGGCTGGGGATGGGTGTCCACACCTTTCTCCCTGGAGCAGGTGGAACAGATCTTAACCTTTCCTCCTATTTTTGTAGCATGGAAAAGCACATCCTTATAGCTTTAAAATAATAATGAGAATTCAGATGTACAAAAGTGACATGCTGTTAATCCCGGTGGGTTTGGTTTTGTTGTATTTTATCCTGATGTGAATATATACAGTAACTAAAGCATGTGCTCATCCTCATCAGGGGCCTCCTCCAAAGCCTTTGGAAGGCTATTGGAAATGTTTTCAGAAGCTTCTGTGGGCTCTGAAGCAGGCTCAGGACAGAACAAGATCACTTGTAAAGGACAAAAAAAAATGGAAAGGAAAGATAATTGAGGTTGCATATCCCAGTGTGTTTGTCTTGGTTTTAGCTGGTTCCATGGAAAGCTTTTGGGGAATGAAGGTTTTTCTGTGCACCATGAGCACAGCTGCATTCTCGTTGTGGTTTTGCACTATATTGCCTATTTTGCAAGTTTTTCTGTGGAACCTTGAGGCTGAGCTCTGTCAGTGAGTGCTGGAGCCCGTGCTGTGAGCCGGGGCTGCAGGGAAAAGGGCAGGAAAAGGGAAGGAGGAGTGTGCAAGGGGAGCACTTGCAGCTGTATGGAGTCACCGGCGCTCTGCAGGCAGGAGCAGCCCATCAGCAGTTGGCTGTCCCCACGTGCTCCCAGGCAAGCAGGGTGTCTGAGGCAAGTGCTTTAAAGCAGAGATTATCACAAGCAGGACATGGAGCTGTATGTTCCCCTGGCACAACTTTCCCTGACGTTCCCAGAGCTCCGCGTGAGCAGGGAACCGGATAGTCCAGAGTTCTCCTAACCACTCTGCTTGTTTATCTGTTTGCTGGGCTCCAGCGTGAGCAGTCTGTTTCCCACCTCTTCTTCACCCATGTAACTAAGATGGTGATGACAGTAGCTGTATATGCTTTGCATGAAATCATTCAGCCATTTGGAAAATTAGAAATACCCCATATCGCTGTCATTTTAATGGAGAACGTGTACTTGGCTCTGGAGGAGTCGATGGTGGATTAACATTTGGTCTGTGAAGCTCAGACTATATTTGGAGGCAAGCTAGGGAATATTTCAGAGCAGTTGTTGGTGTGATCATCTCTCATAATTGAAGAGACTGTGGTGTTACAACAGTACCTGTTACTTTATTTTTAATTTTTCTTTCTTTGCATTCGTTGTGTTACTGAGGCTCTGAGTTCCATGGCTTTGCAGCACAGTTGATGTGAAAAACTGTGTATGTTGTTACAGTGGCACGTTTCTTGGAGTGTCTGGTACTTCTAATAGGAGACTTCCCACTCTTCAGTGAGAGGATGTACATAAAAGCAGTGTTTTGGGACAAAGTGAGATTAATCTATTCTAGTCTTCCAGATATTGAGTAACTTCCTATTATCTTTTACTCTTTCTTTCTTTCTCCCACTGAAAATAAGTGTCATTCCCTCCAGATAACATAGTTATAACCTCATGTTTTCTGCAGGTACATATGCACAATATAAAGACTCATTGCACGGTACAGTGTGTTTAAAATAGAAATTTAAATAAGTAGTTTTATTCCTTACAAGGGTAAGTTTTTATTTTGTGGCCCTCAGGCAGGCAGGCTCACTGCTCTCAATAGACAGTACTCAAAGCCCAAAAAAGTGTCCAGGGCCAGATCTTTGGCTGCTGTAAATAAGGCATTGCTCCACTGACTCCCAAACCAAGGATTTTTACATGGTGTTTAGGGGATTTGGATGCTGATCTCCCACACGTGGGAGAGCAGTGAGTATCCAAGCCCCACAGACAGCCCTTATTATCACATTCTGTTGTTTAAATGGAAGGTATGTCTACCTGGCATGCACATTCCTTCTCTTCCCTCCCTCTCTGTTGTGGATGAGAGTAAAGGATCATTTCAACCTCACATATGTTTGTAACTTCTAAGTCCACTGGAAATCTTACAGAAAACATTGCCAAATTCTACTGCTTTACTAGTCCCAGACTCAGCTTTGAAAAATATGCCTAAGGAAATTCTTACAAAGCATGATGTTAAAAACCCCTCTCTTCTTTTCTACTTTTGATTAAAGCTGCCTCTGTTTCACCCAGAGTTTTGCAGAAAACCAGAAACACAATGAATTGAATGCTCTGTGTGGACTCTTTGCAGCCTTATCCCTGTGGTCTTACCTGCAAGGACATTTCAGCAATATAAATCACAGACATCCATTGGCCAGGTCCTCAGCTGGGCTAAACTAGCACATTTCCATTGACTTTAATGTCCTTTTTTGCCAGCTGGGAAATATGGTCCATTCATTTCACTGGTGTTAGGTCAGGGATGGATTTGGCCCAGTACACAGTGGCAGCACAGACCAGAGCACAAGGCTGACACTTGGGTAGAACCAAACAGTCACAGTTTATCAAAGCATATACCTCTTCCCATTTACTGCTTTCCCCTACCTGTGGATTCAGGAAGACTCATTCAGAACTTGGCTTCACCCAGAGGTGAGGCTGGAACTGTCATTACTGCTCTCAGTCTGAGACTGATGACAATAATGGACAGGTTCTGACTTCAAATCATGTAAAACCACCTCAGTAATGATTTTCAGTTAAACAAATCAGGGTGGAATTTGGCCCTGTGTGCACAGGAGCTTTTCATGTACATAGATTTCCACTGTCTGTGCACTTTCCTTAGCAAGGGCAGATGAACAAGAGGGTGCATCCCTCCAGTATCATGTGAGATATGTGTGCAGGGCTCTGGGGACATGAACTGCCCAGTGCTTGTGGTCAAGAAGAATGTCAAATCATCCAAAAGAATCGTAATTTTATAATTCTGAAAACAAAAATAATGGTATTTTTAAAAGCAAGGATGCCTGAAGTCTTCCTGTATCTCCTAGCAGTTATTATCTTGAAGGATATTTTATACCTTAGTTGTATGTTTCATATAATTTAAAACTTGCTTCTTAAATTTCTGAACTCAAGGAGGGGGTGAATCTTCTGGCTTTCAGGATTCTCATTCAGAGGATGTTTGTTCTTTTGCTGCATGTACTGTTTGTCCAGAACTAACCAGTTATTTCTCCTATATGGGTTTTATTGTGCCTTACAGCAAATATTAAATTTAAGCGGAATGTACATGTTAGAGGAGGGAATAATCAAGAACTTTACTGCACTGTTAGGTGATGCTGCCCCAGAGTGTATCATCAAACATATCTGTGCTTAATTACCCAACCAAAGAGATCTAAAGTATGTATGTTTGTTGTACTGTAATAGGGGTTTGTGCCTGGACAATTAAGTGTTTTATTTGTATTCTGAGATGATGTGAACTTATTTTTCTAAACACTATACTGAATAAACTTTATATTTATACACATCTTGTGTAAATATTTCTGTTTGGATGTCATGTGAGGGCTTT